GGACACAAGACACCTAACAACCCAATGTATGTCCTCCACTCAAAAAATGATTTTGTCATTTGGGAGTTGTAGTTTCTGGGATTTATAGTTCACCTACAATCAAAGAGCATTCTGAACCCCACCGACAATAGAATTGGACCAAACTTGGCACACAGTTCTCCCATGACCAATAGAAAATACTGGAAGGGTGTGGTGGGCAGTGTCCTTTGATTTTGGAGTTGTAGTTCACCTACATCCAGAGAGCACTGTGGACTTAAACAATGATGGATCTGGACCAAACTCTACATGAATACTCAATATGCCCAAATGTGAACACTGGTGGAGTTTGGGGAAAATAGAATCTTGACATTTGGGAGTTGTAGTTGCTGGGATTTATAGTTCACCTACAATCACAGAGCATTCCAAACCCCATCAACGATAGAATTGGGCCAAACCTTCCACACAGAACCCTCATGACCACCAGAGTGGGCCACAGCAACGCGTGGCAGAGGACGGCTAATACTAACAAAACCACAACTCTCCAAATATCATAACATTGAGCCATGGCAGTGCAAGTTGTCTCAAACTGCATTGATTACACATTGTAGAATATGCACCTTCAATTGTGCATTTCCAAAGCTTGGCAATTTCCAAGAGTGCTCCAGCCAAGAGAATTTAAATCAATATTTATGTTTAACTGTTGAATTTGATCCTGTGAGGCTGCAAAATCCACAGTACAAAGCACAAGGGAGATGTGGTCTGTGAATGCAGATACATGCAGGGAAAATGCACGTTTCCACTTCCTCTCTCTCTCTCTCTCTCTCTCTATATATATATCCTTCTGCTTCTTGTTTCTGCTTGCAATGTTCCACAAAAAAGGGTTATAGATGTGAGGGAAGTTCTCACAGGCTCTCAGATCCAATATACAGAAGGGAAAGTAGGCAATTTTAGGTGAATCATATAAGGAAATAATCGGTATACATCTAGAAATCTAGACTTTCATCTAGCCTACTGATATGGACAGATTCAGGTCATTTTCTCACATTTATTGCACTTTGATATGACTTTAACTGCTATAGATACAGAAATGTGTCTTGGCAGTTTTATGAGATGCTAATGTTGCCTATCAGAGTTTTCTATGGACCTAGGTAAACTACAAATTGCAGGAAACGATGCAGTTTGACAACACTTTAACTGACATCGCTCAATGCTAAGGGAATCCGTAACTCCTATGATTCCATATCAATGACCCACAAAGGTAAAGTGCATAAATTCTACATTGTAGATCAGTGGTTCCCAACCTGTGGTCCATGGACCACCAGCTGTCCGCAAGAACAAAATATGGTCCGTGGCCTCACCATTACTATGCCATTGCCTCAAAACCACACGGCAAGGAGAGTGACTGGTCTCACGAAACCCAAGGAAACTGGGATGTTGGGAGGGGAGAGGCTGACTACCCATGAAAGATTACTACTACCACATCAGATCTATATTTTTAAATATGGTTTTCTGTGGGCGAGCAGATRGCGAYTGYTGGATGGYATATGTTCTGTATCAGAAACTAGAGCTGATGTRGTCTATCCAATGCAATTTTCTGAATCAGYACCMCAAAYAAYCAAGCCAMATTTAAAGTTSACCAAMAACGGATTCGTAAYCCTTTTSGTACTAATGTTGGAAAGTGGTCCCTGGTTAAAAAAAACAACAAGAAGAGGTTGGGRACCACTGTTGTAGATGAAYYTTAAGAAAGCKTGACTTCCTAAAGYARTGTTTCTCAACCTTCCTAATGCCGTRACCCCTTAATACAGKTCCAACCATAAATTTATTTTCATTGCTACTTCATAACTGTCATTTTGCTACTGTTASGAATCRTAATGTAAATAYCTSWTATSCWGGATGGATTTTCATTCACTGRACMAAATTTGGCAYAAATACCCGATACGCCAAAATTTGAATACTGGTGGGGTTGGCGGGGATTGGTTTTGTCATTTGGGAGTTGTAGTTGCTGGGATTTATAGTTCACACACAATCAAAGAGYATTCTGAACCTCACCAACAATGGAATTGAACCAAACYTGGCACACAGAAATCCCRTGACCAACTGAAAATACAAGAAGGGTTTGGTGGGCATTGRCCTTGAGTTTTGGAGTTGTAGTTCACCTACATCCAGAGARCAATGTGGACTCAAACTATGGTGGATCTGGATCAAACTTGGCATGGATACTCAATATGCCCAAATGTGAACACTGATGGAGTTTGGGGGAAATAGGACATGTCATTTGGGAGTTGTAGTTGCTGGGATTTATAGTTCACCTACAATCAAAGAGCATTCCGATCCTCACCAATGATAGAATTAGGCCAAAATTCTGACACAGAACCCTCATGACCAACAGAAAATACTGTGTTTTCTGATGATCTTTGGTGACCCCTCTGACACCACCTCACGACCCCCCCAGGGGTCCCGACCCCCGATTGAGAAACACTTTCCTAAAGGAAAAAATTAAAAATAACTCATTCTATGCACGGAGTGATCCTAAACAGTGGAAAGAGAAAACCCTAGTTTCTTACATACAACTAAGCTCCACATTTGCATGCAGGTGAATGGCGCATTCAAGGAGACAAAAAGACACACATAATTCAAGAGGATGAAGTTATCTTTTGTTTCTGTGTTTCTCTAAGCAAAACCATAGCAATGGAAGAGTAACTATAATGCAATCTCAGGGCCCTGTGTAAAAAAACCAAACCCCTTGCTATTTTACTTTGCACGTAACTTTCAACAGTGCTGTCTGCTACTCCCACCTACATGGAAGTTGGTGGTTGCTTATGGTTAATACTAGTTCTATGCTAAGCCAGGGCTGGGGCTGTTTGCACATCGTTTGTATATATGTGTCGGAAAACAAAACAACTGACCACAGAAAAGAAGATGTGGCTCAGAAAGATCAAGGTCTGAGACAAGCAAGCAAACGGGAGAGTAAGGTGCTGAGAGACAGCAGCGAGGTAAGTGCTCTCAGTTAGAACTAATGAGGAAGGAAAACTTAAATTGAGTTTGGCAATTAGAACTTATCAGCAAAAAATCGATATGTCTTGACCTGTTAAAAAATTTCCAGCAAACAATCTGCGGCATATTCATACTGGATGCATCTGTGCTGTAGAATGTCACCACATTAACTGTCATTGTACAACACTATGGAATCCTGGGATTTGTAGTTTGGTGAGGCACCAGCACTGTAGGCAGAGAAGGCTGAAGACCTCACAAATACAACTCTCTTGTCTTGATGATGGCAAGTAAAAAGGTGTCAAACTGCATTAATTCTGCAGTGTAGATGCACCCCCCCAATGTATGCATGTGGAGTGGATAAATGTGCAAAAGTTAGATCAGGACTGCAGCCTTCATTTTGCATGTGTAATTAATATGTCTATGTGTACAATATGTGTATATGGAAGAACTATACCGCTTTCTTCAAAGTCTGAGTGATCTGGGTTGTTGTGAGTTTTCTGGGCTGTATGGCCATGTTCCAGAAGCATTCTCTCCTGATGTTTCACCTGCATCTTTGGCAGGCATCCTCAGAGGTTGTGAGGTCTGTTGGAAACTAGGAAAATTGGGCTTATATATCTGTGGAATAATGTTGTGCCCGTACCTCGGGAAGTCTGATCTGGCCACAGTGGTCCACGCTCTTGTTACATCCCGAATAGACTACTGCAACGCGCTCTACGTGGGGTTGCCCTTGAAGACTGTTCGGAAACTTCAACTAGTCCAGCGAGCGGCAGCCAGATTGCTCACCGGAGCGACATACAGGGAGCATACCACCCCCCTGTTATGCCAGCTCCACTGGCTGCCGATTCAGTTCCGAGCACAATTCAAGGTGCTGGTTTTGACCTACAAAACCCTGTACGGTTCCGGTCCAGTGTATCTGTCCGAACGTATCTCCCTCTACGTCCCACCCTGAGATCATCTGGGGAGGCCCTGCTCTCGACCCCACCACTGTCGCAAGTGAGGCTGGTGGGGACGAGGAGCAGGGCATTCTCAGTGGTAGCTCCTCACCTGTGGAACTCACTCCCGGGGGAAATCAGGGCATCACCATCCCTCCTCGCCTTCAGGAGGAGGGTGAAGATGTGGTTATGGGACCAGGCCTTTGGGCACTCTGGCAATTAAATCAGTCAATCAGGCGAGTAAGACCAACAGGATTGATGAAGTAGAACGTAAAACTAGATCTATGAGTTAGCGAACACTGACCATGTAAGAGGAGAAATTGGGTTTGTATTGGTTTTTACTGATTTTATTGATTTTATGGTTATAATGCATGAATTGTTGTTAACTGTGAATTGATGTAAATTTGTGTATGATTGTTTTATGATGCAGGCATCGAATTGTGCCTTTGCTTTTGTAAGCCGCCCTGAGTCCCCTTCGGGGTGAGAAGGGCGGGGTAAAAGAACCCCAAATAAATAATAAATAATAATAATAAGTTATAATAATAATAATAATAATAATAATGTCCAGGGTGGGAGAAATAACTCTTATCTGTTGGAGCTAGCTCCATATTTCACCTAGCTCCAGCAGACAAGAGTTCTTTCTCCCACCCTGGACTTTCCACAGATATATAAACCCAATTTTCCTAGTTTACAACAGTCCTCACAACCTCTGAGAATGCCTGCCATAGATACAGGTGAAATGTCAGGAGAGAATGCTTCTGGAACATGGCCATAGAGTCCGGAAAATTCTCAACAACTCAGTGATTCTGGCCATGAAAGCCTTCGACAATATTCTGAGTGATCCATTTTTCTATCTTTCTCTCCAGATCTAGAGAAGACTGAATTTTTAAAAATATAATTACAATTTAAACTGGATGTGGAGGAAGAGCAAGGTGCCTTTGCTAAACGAGAGAACCGAGGTTTTTTTCTGGGTTCCTTCTGTGTGCACCCTGCAAATGATTACCAAGTGCAGCAAAGACCTGGACTCTTTGCCCCACCTCTGAGACAATAGGATCTGGGATCTATCAGAAAGCCTGCTGAGGTTCATTTGGGCTCATGGATAATACCACCTTGCTATGCCAACCTGTGCTCTTTAATACCACCAAGTACTTTAAAATCCCTGTATACTCCATCGTGGTGGCTACTGGTCTGCCTCTGAACTGCTTGGCACTCTATGCCTTGATCCGCCAGATGAAGAAGTCGGTCATCCTCTCCGTTTACATCACGAACTTGGTCTTGGCCAATCTCTTGCAGATCTTGACCCTCCCGTTCTGGATCTACTCTAGCTACCAAGACCACCATTGGGGTTTAGGGAAGGAGTTCTGCGTCGTGGCCAGTTTAGCCTTCCGTACCAACTTCTATGCCAAAAACTGCTTCTTGTGCCTCATCGCCATGGAGCGATACATGGGCCTCGTACATCCACTGATGTTCCAGAGGTTGCAGACGATTCGAGGGGCCGTCAAGATGAGCGTCGCCACTTGGTTTGTGGTGACCGTTTTGTGTGCGACTGGCATTGCACTCCAGATGAAGAATCCATACCCAAGGCAAGACAACTGTCTGGATGATTCTGTGCTGGACAAAGGCTATGCTCGGTTTAAGGTGAGCATCATCGGCTTCTCCTTCTTCATCCCTTGCCTTATGATGGGCTTCTTCTACTTCAGGGTCCTCTTTGAGCTCCGGAAGGTTGTCTCTTTGGAGAAGAGAGTCAAGAAGCAAATCTATGGCTTCGTCTCCCTCATCATTGCCACGTTCTTCCTCTTGTTCATACCATACCAGGTGATTTCGTCTTTCAGGTTCTACAGCGAATTGATGACCAAAGACGACAGTGTCCAGCTCTGTGAATTTGTGAAAAATGTTTTCATCTACATGCAGGCGACATTGTGCCTAAGTACTTTGGACAACATCTTGGACCCGCTTCTTTATATCCTGCTCCTCAAGGATATCCGGGCAGAGCTCAAGGAAACACTCAGCATCAAAGCTCATGGGACAGGACATTTGAACAAATCGGAAGAGCGAGATATATCTCTATATTTTACCAGCGAACAGATGTAAGGTCTAATAGTTGAACACATTCACTATCTTCTAGATCAGAGGTACTCAAACTATGGCCCGGGGGCCAGATACGGCCCTCCAAAGTCATTTACCTGGCCCTTGCTCAGGGTCAACCTATGTCTGAAAAGACTTGAAAGCACACAACAACAACAACAGCAGTAACAACAACAACAATCCTATCTCATCAGCCAAAAGCAGGCTCACAGTTCCCACTGAAATACTAATAAGTTTAAATTTGTTTAAATTGTTCTTCATTTTAATTATTGTATTGTTTTAGAGTGGGGTTTTTTTGCACTACAAATAAGATATGTGCAGTGTGCATAGGAATTCATTCTTTTTTTTTTCAAATTATAATCTGGCCCTCCAACAGTTTGAGGAACTGTGACCTGGCCCTCTGTTTAAAAAGTTTGAGGACCCCTGTTCTAGATTCTATGGGTACACCTATATGTAGAATGAATGCAGTTTGATCTCACTTTAAGATGTCATTACTCAATTCTATGGAATCATGGGAGCTGTAGTTTTACAAGGATTGTAGTCTTCTCTGCCAAAGAGTGCTATTGGTGCTTCATCAAACTACAAATCCCAGGATTCTATGTTGATTTTTAACACTTTGGAAGACTGTCCTAACTTTACCTCTTGGTACTTGGATTCCAATATAATTATGGTTCATATAATGCAGCTAGCAGTTTGAAAACATGCAAATGTGAGTAGATCA